CGTTGGCGGCGTGTACAGTCAAAAGTCGTTAATTCGGACACCCATAATTCGGAATGATCTATAATCCTGACCTCAAAGCTAAAAACTTTCTGCGCATGCGGCGCGTTGACACATGCGCATAGGCGTTCACACGTGCGCGTAAGACCTTTTACGACTGCGCATATGAGTGTGCGCAAGTGCAGAATACGTTTTCACATGCGCGTTTTATGTATAACGGACCGTATAAGCTAAAATTATCTAATTATCGATTTCAGTTAATGTTGATGATTGCGTTGTTCCTTAATTTTCGAATTGGATCCGGCTTATTATTTTTTGCAGACTGTAAGAGCAATACTATAAAAGTAAACTTGAAACTTTTCGATTATGTCAAATAGAATTTCCGATTCTGGAGCTCCCAAAGGATCGTACAAAATGAAAGTATGTTTTGATGTTCATCAAACAAAAAGTGGAATTGCTGCAAAAAATGGATAAAGACATGAAGAATGTGACAAAGAGGTTAGTGAAAATGAAAAAATTTCGATTGATGAGTTAGTCGGTATTCTCGGCACAGCAATTAACGGGACTTGAACAGCGGAACTTTGTAACTGAACAAGAAATTATGTCTGTTTATAGAATTAAAGAGAAAGTATTATCACATAAAACGAAACAACTTACATTGAAAAAAATTTTTAATAAAGTAAACAAATAAATTTAAGCTTTTTTTTTTTTTTTTTGTAAATTTTGATACCCTTTAGATCATAATTGTTCTTTATTCATAAAATTACGGTTTCATATTTTTAATTTTACAATTTCTGCATGCCATCTTACGAGATTTAAACTGATGATCTATAATCCGGAATCGCCGAAGTCCCGACGAGTCCGGATTAACGACTTTTGACTGTATATAATATGATTATCGGATTTCGAAATTACGCAAAAAAAAATCTGATAGCTTATAAATTTCATTAAAAAAATGGACTTTGTTTTGTAAATGGCAAAATATTCTTCCCCCTCTTTTTTTAGTTCTGAATTCAGTTTTCCGTTGTTTTGATTTTTAAATAATTCACATTAAAAGCTTACTTTTGAGAAATAAACGGATAAAACTTGTGACCAAATTCAGAAACAAACATTACATATTAAAAAGTTTGTCCCCTCTTTTTTTTTATACACTTCATGTAGTAAAAATAAGTAATCAATCCTGCTCTTGTTGGAAATTTCCAAGTTTGCTGTGCTTTTCCCCCATGCTCGTACAAAACAAAATCTTTTAAACATTTTTCTTTTTTATAAATGCCTTGTTATTTTGCAGTAAATTAAACAAAATAATATCAAGTTATCTTGGCTAACCATTCAATGTAACTATATTCGGCAAATTACCGTTAATTATTGTAATTCACTTTTTAATCTTCAATTAATTTATTTAAATGTTATTCATGTCATTTAATGTTGCTTCTTCCTTCTAAATTTATTTCTTATTAGTTGATACTTTCAAATTTCGGACAATTTTCTATGGCATACTTGTGAAACTAATTCTGGCAGTATGATAACATACCATTACGAAATTTAGTGCACATATTTGTAAGTTATGTATGTTGCTAAATAAGTATAAAATACTTCAATGTATTTAAAAATATTAGATTTCTTCCTTTCCTTTAGCTGCAAAATGTCTGAACAAAATGCATTTTTTAATCCAGCTTGGGCAGATTCTAATCTCAATTCTCAGTGGAGTCCATGGTTGCAACCTATCGAAGGAGCTCCTAACATGGCAAGATACATGTTTTGCCAAAAAAATATCATGCTTAGTAACATGGGAAGGAAAGCAATCACAAGCCACATAAACAGTGTAAAACATAAGAAAATCATTTCTATGAAGAAAACTTGGAACTTGGAAAACTTAAAAAAACTATTTCTCCATAGATAAAAAAGTTCTGAAACACAGCAGTCTTCAGCACTAGTTGCATAATCATCAAACTTAACTCCTTCATAACTAAGGACAAAATTTTAGCTGCAGAATTACTGTGGGCTATGAAATTTGTTTCTTCACATGTTTTGTATAATTTATTTAATGACGCTGTTATTCTGTTCCAGAAAATGTTTGATAACAGCAATAAAGGTAAAGCTATGACCCTGCGACGTACAAAAATGTCATACAGTCAAAAGTCGTTAATCCGGACACCTCAGGACTTCGGCGATTCCGGATTATCGATTTTTCCGGATATTGAGATCGTCAGTTTCAATCTAGTAAGATGGCATGTAAAAATTATAAAATTAAAAATATGAAATCGGGATTTATGAAATAAATGAACATATTTATGATCTAAAGGGTATCAAAATTACCAAAAAAAACAAAGCTTAATATTTATTTGTTTACCTTTATTAAACATTTCGTTCAATGTATGTTGTTTAAGTTGCTTTGTTTTTTGTGATAATACTTTCTTCTTTAATTCCTATAAGACAGACATAATCTCTTTGTTCAGTTACGAAGTTCTGCTGTTGAAGTCCTTGGAACCGCTGTTTGGAGCATTCCGACTAACTTGTCAATCGAAATTTTCTCGTTTTCAGTGACTTTTCTGTCACTTTCTTCACTATCAGAACGAATTATATGAGGAATATTTTACGGATCTAGAACCATACTACAAATTTTGCCATTCATTAATTCGATTGATGAATACTACATTTAGTAAGGAATTATAAGGCAAATAAAATAAAAACATCTGCCCTGAAGATAAGGATAGTGCTGACAGATCAACTTCCAATTCATTGCACGCCGCGGCGTTTCCTTCCCCCCCCCCTGCCGCAGAGCAGGGTGAAATTGATAAACAGATTTCGGAATGGTTAGAAAAACGAAGGATATGCCTTTATCCATTTTTTGCCGCAATTCCACTTTTTGTTTAATGGACTTCGAAACATACTTTCGCTTTGCAGATCCTTTACATTTTAGTAAATATATCGCTTTGCAGATCCTTTACATATTAGTAATATCGGAAATTCTATTTGACATAATCGAAAGTTCAAGCTTACTTTTATAAAATTGCTCTAACAGTCTGCAAAAAATAATAAGCCAGATCCAATTCGAAAATTAAGGAACAACGCAATCTGCAACATTAACTGAATTAAGTAATTTTAGCTTAGCTTATATCGTCCGTTATACATTAAATGCGCATGCGTTAACGTATTATGCACATGCGCACACGCATATTCACAGCCGTAAAGGTCAACGGGATGCATGCGCAGAAAGTTTGTAGCTTTGAGGTCCGAATTAATGACTTTTGACTGTATTTAGTGTCATTTGGTTTAGCTCAATACTTCAAAAAGATGCTCAAGACTGAGAGAAGCTGTTAAAGATAAGATACTTTTGGCAAAAATCTCTTTTTTTATTTCTGTTGCAGGAGTTCTACATCCATTCAGACAGATGATCCTTTGTGCCCCTTTTCTGTATACAAGTTTCCATAGTATGCTAAGTCATCTTCTCTCCAAATTTGTCAAATGAGATATACTGCAAGAGGCAATAACTCCTGAAAAACTGATAAAAATAGATATTCTGGATCAAAACATTTATTGTAATTTTGCAGATATAGATGTGGGTATTGCTGCTGGTGCAAGTTTAGCTAAAAATGGAGTATCTGATCTTAACAAAAGAAAATTCAGAACTCGGTGCAGAACATTTTTGGTTAAGCTGGTGTCAAAAATATTTTAAAGAAGCCCATTGAAATATAGCTTAGTTAAATACATTTCTTCGTTAGATCCTAAGCTCATTACGTCTAATGAATTTTTATGTGAGAAGAGGATGGAGAGGTTACTGCATATACTGCATGAAAGTGAATGGATAAATTCCACAGTTGCAGATAAATCAAAAGTGCAGTTTAAAGAATTATTATTCAGAAGTAAGAGTGTTTGGAAAGAGACTTTTGTTAATTATGCTGCAATGCGACTTGATCACTTTTATAAGGACTTGATTAATAACTCAGATTTTAAAGAACTTTTGAAATATATTAAATTCTTATTTTTAATTCTAATAAAAATTTACATTTAACATATATTATGTATGCTTATATTAACAGTTTTGTATCAGGGAAAAAATGCTTTTTTAACCTTTCAGAATTTAGCAAATGTTGAAATATCACTGAGGTGATTGTTTGCCAATTATATATTATTTAATAAGGTAGATATAAATGAGCCCTGCACTGCCATTTTGTGAACAGTAACTTCCATTCCAGAATTTATGTATAATACTTTTTAATATAATTCGTGACATAATTTTATCACAATTAATGGTGGAGAAAATCTTTGTTTAAAAGTTCATACATTGGATTGAAAAATCAACGATTTTCATTTCTGATTTTGTTTTAGATGGAATGCATTGTACTTATTTAATTGCTTTTGTAAATGAAAGTTATTGAGGAAAATGGAAAATAACTCCTGTTGTAGTCATAATAGTAATTGTTTGGGTAATATACTTTATATATATGTATATAAGTCATATGCAATTAGCAAATTTTTGTGTTATCAAGTGGCACCATAATGAATTTACCTTTAGCACAACTAACGTGCACTATGCGGATAGACTGGAATTTTCTTAAAACACTTAGAATTAGTCAGGGAAGTTCATTCTCCTGTTTGAGTGGCATCCCTGTAAACACTACTTCCATCTGTTGGCAATCTGAGAATACATAATCACAATTTTATATTGAACAACAGGGAAAAGGCTGGGGAGCTATAGCTGTCCAAATTGAGAGTACCAGATATGGTAAATAAGATTGAGCTGTGAAGTATAAGCTGGTGAAAAACAAAATTGGTTGGAGTTCAGTTGGACAGTATAATTTTCTAACTATGCAATTGTTCAAATCAAGAATTTTCATACATTCAGGGAAAATCTGCTAGTGTAACCTCTTAAAACTCTCATTTGGGATTAGCAACTTGTCTGTGGCTGGTTACAGAACTTTTGTTACAAATAGAATAGTTAAATGATATGGCAATTTTAAGTATGCTATGTAAATTCTTAGATTTAATTTGATTTATTTTAGACCAAGCAAACTATGGGTGATGTAATGAAAGAGGCTGCTTTCTCATTGGCTGAGGCGAAATTCACTACTGGAGATTTTAACCATATTGTGCTTCAAAATGTTACCAAAGCTCAGATTAAAGTCAGGAGTAAAAAGGATAATGTAGCTGGTGAGTAGTTTTGCAATATTTCAGCTTTCTTCTTTTCAGTTTGGTCTTTATTATATATGCTGTATTTACTGTTCTTTCTGCAGAATATAAGGATTAAAAAATTAACTAATATATTATTTATTTAAATGTTTTTATGTTTTGTTTCATTTTTAAAAATATATGATAATTTAAAAATTTGTCTAGGGATCATATGTTTCTCCTACTTAATAATTGTATACTGAATTTTCAGCATATGAAGTGTAGAAGTGAGTTCGTCGTAGTAACTAATAATTCTTGATACATTTTAGTATGTTTTATATCAAGGGTTTCCAACAAGGGTGCTTGCACCTCTTGGGTGTGTGAGGTAGCATTCTAGGGGGTGCAAGGTAATGCAAATGTTGCAAATTATAGTCAGCTCATTGCACTGATGGGGTTTAGAGTTGGATGATTCTCTCATTTTACTGAGAAAATGAACAATTGATTCCAGAAGATAAATTGGTAGCTGTTTTAGAGTTAATGGAGAGCTCTTATTGGAAGTGTTGTGGGTATAGAGATTGTTATTCATTTAAAAACTAAATCACTTTACTAAGCGAGCAAATACTTGATCCCCCCCAACCAAAAAAGAGCAGAATGTTGGAATCAAGCCAGGAAACTGATTTTTAGGAAGAATGCTAATTCTTCCATGTTAAAAAAAGAATGTAATTTTCATCATTTCCCAAATTTTTGAAAATTTTTTTATTCTAATATTTTATTATTAGTTCAGTGTGGAAAGGCGGTGGAATCTCAAAATTGCAATTGAAAAAAATCAGTTCTGGGAGTAGCTTTAATTGAGTTTATTCTCACTACTTGCGCATCAATGGTTTTAAGATTCAGTGGTAATCCAATTTTTTCGAATATATGTGGTGGTTCAGCAAAACATAATATCACATCAAATCTGAATAAATCAAAAATCAATAATCACCAATCAATAAATATAAATTGATTTAATGGAGTATAAATAATATCTCAATCTCGGAATCTCACATCATCACTGCGTCACACCTTCTTTCGAGTCTCTGAACATTCAATGACGATCTCAGCACCCTCTAGCATTACGCGGGTCTTACCATTCTCCCCGCTTAAACTCCCATGGAGTTTACAATGGAACTTTGTTGTGGCTCGTCGAAGAACACCTGTAGAGGTCTTGACTTCAACTACTCTGACCAGATCATCAGCACCAGGATACACTTGCTGGATGCGACCTAATGACCAATGCAAAGGATTGGAACTGGAGTCCTTTAGCAGTATCTGTTGACAAATCTTCATGTTTGGGCTGCGAACTGCTCCATTTGGCACGATTCTGTAGTTGATTTAGATACTCGGACTGCCACCGCTTCCAAAATTTAGCTTGGAGTCTCTGAACTAGTTCCCACCTGTAATGAAAAGAAAGAGAATCCGAAGCAGTATGTGGTTCAGGAAAGGATAACATAGCATTTCCTGTCAAAAAATGTCCTGGAGTTAAAGGCTGTAAGTCATTCGGATTGGAAGAAAGCAGTGATAATGGGCAGGAATTCAGAACTGCTTCTATCTGAGTAACTAAAGTAGTTAACTCTTCAAAATTCATGATAGCTGATTTTGCTACCCTTAACAAAATCCGTTTCACTGATCTTACGTTTGCTTTCCACAGGCCGCCAAAGTGAGGAGAAGCTGGTGGGATAAATTTCCATTGGATGCCTTCTTCTGCACTAAATCCTTGAATTGGGTTAGATTCACAAATATCATTATATGCATTAAGAATATTTCTCGCTCTTTTGAAATTCGTGACGTTATTTCTCCAGATAATGGCTGGTTTGGATCTTCTGGCAATAAATCGTCATAAACAGGCTAGAAAAGCTTCTGTTGTTAACTCAGAAACAACTTCTAAGTGCACTGCTTTAGTGCAAAAACAAATAAATAATACAATATAAGACTTTAAAGTCACTTTTGATCTTTTCAAATTAGGTTTTCTGATTATAGGTCCTGCGAAATCTAATCCGACCTTCTCGAAAGGTCTAGAAGGCTCGAAACTGTCCCACAACCCTCGAAACTGTCCCTAAGTCATCTGATTACCATATCATCTGGCTTACCGTTTGATTCTTCGTTCTGAAGCAAGTTATGCACTTATTTATTACTCTTCTAACTCGTTCTTGACCAGACGGTATCTAATATATCTGTCTTATTAAAGATAATGTAGTCTATGATAATATTCAATAACTAAATTAGTGAAATGATGAGCCTTTGGTAAGAGTATCTGATGTTTCTGAAATTCAGAAAACTTAGAATACTCCAGTCTTCCTCCTACTCTCACTACCTTATTTTTGTCAAGAAATACGTTCTGAGATGATATTTTACTATTTTTTGGAATTGATTGTCCGTTTTTTAAGCACTTTGTTTCCCTTCAAAATTCAGTTGACTGTACCAGTTTTACTAAAACTTCAGTAGCATGTCTTAATTCAGAAACACATATGAAGTCTGTTCTTAAATCTGGGTTCACTTTACAGTTATATATAAATCTCAAACATAAAGCAGTTTTCCTAATTAATTTACTCAATGAAGAGTATCTTGTGATCAAATCGTTTTCAGTTTGGCTATTTTCAACAGTTGCATTTACAACTGACTTCTTAAACTCTAACTTATCGACATTGACTTTGGTTTCTTCCATTGATTCTAAGGAGGATGGCCATGCTGTATTATTCATTGTCAACCAACAGGGTCCACCAGAGCTGATTATTCTTGAGCTCACTTAAGGATAAACTCCTAGAAATCAAATCGGTGGGATTACTCTTTTCTATACAATGATGCCATTCCTTTGGGTTGCTGTATTTTTGTATTTCTTTTATTCTATTCTTCATGAACACCTTATGTCTATTTGGATCACCTTTGATCCAGTAATAAGCTATTGAGGAATCTGTGCAAAAATATCGAGTAACTGGAAAACTTAGTGCAGTTACGATTTTATTGCCCAATCTTGAAGAGAAAAGTGCACGCACGAGTTCCAATCTAGAAATCGAAAGGGTTTTTAACGGAGCCACCCTGCCCTTTGATGCTTCAAACCTAGAAATTATATTTCCACCCTTTAATTCTATGCGTAAGTATGCAACAGTACCATAAGCTTTCTTAGATACATCTGAAAAACAAGTGTAATTAAATAGTGATTTCATGACTAGGCAAAGAATTTTTAAAATAATATCGGGGAATAATTATTTCCTTTACATCTTGGATCTCATCGCACTGTTTATTCCAAGCAATTTCTAACTGTTTGTCCAATTTTTCATCCCAGTCTAATCCTAAATACCAAATTTCTTGCATCAAGTACTTAGCTCTAATAGTATACGGTCGTATAAAACCTATTGGATCGAAAAGTCAACCTACCGCTTTGTAGTAAGTGTCTTTTTGCGTTAGTTTGTTTTGAAAGAAATGTTAAAACATATCAGTTTGTTCATCCCAACCAATTCCCAATACTTTTGAAGCTATCAACTTTGTATCTAGAGACTCTTCACTCTGATCTACATCGAAGTTTAAATTCTTTAATTCTTTACTTAGCTCAGGAGAATTGGTTTTCCACTTTCGAAGGTCCATGCTTGCCTCTTTTAGAATGTCTACACTCTCTTTACAAGTCTTTAGAGTCTGTTGAACAGTGACTTGCCCACAAATAAAATCGTTGACATACAATGATTCATTAAGATGTTTAGAAGTCAGAGGAAATTTATCTACGTCCCTTTTCAAGTGATGTTTGATTGTGACTGCGAGGAGGAATGAGCTAGATCTCTCCCCAAATAACACCCTTGTCATCCAAAAAACTTCTAATTTATTGTTTTCATCATCAGTTCCTGGATCTTCTTCCCAAAAGAATCTGGTGTAGTTTTGTTCACTTTCATCTATTTCGATTTGGAAAAAGGCCATCTTTATATCTACAACAAATGCTATTGGATTCGTTCTAAATCTAATCAAATGAAGAAATAGGTTAGGCATAAAATTAAGTCCCGTGTATAAGCAATCGTTGAAAGATAATTGACTTTTTGCATGCGCCGAAGCATCAAACACAATGCGTAATTTGCTTGCAGTCTTATCCATACGTATTACAGCTCGTTGAGGTAGATAAAACGTATTTTGGTGTAAATTTACTTCATCAACTGGGGCGGGTTCAATAATATTCTCCGAAAGATAATTCTTTAGAACAGTGTTATATTCACAAAATAAGGAAGGGTCATTTTTAAAAGATTTCAATCTCAAAAATCTTTTCATTGCTATCTGTTCGTTGCTATTTGTAATAATGTCTTCATATTTGGTTTCCAGGGCAATTTCACTTTATGTCGCTTATTTTGATATGTAATTCCGGATTCAAATTCACTCATTATTTCTTTCTCAGTGGTTTCTATGTCAGCTACTTCTGCCTCGATACCCAAATTTTCTAAATCACAAAATTCCTTGAGTTGATCGGAAATATTGAATTCGTTTAACATAACACTCATTGCAAACGTTTAATTTAAGTTCGTGTTTCGGCCTTGCAAACACCACCCAAATATTGTTTCATCTGCAACGAGGGTTTGGTTAGGCGTGTAATTCGACCAGTGACAATATCACAATAGTAATCTGCACTATGAGAGTGGACTCGTCCATTGATTGTGAAGCAGCGTTTGTTTGAGCTCCGTATTTTTGGCTTTTTTAAGTGTGATTAAAAGGTGAATCAATGAAAATTTTTATTATGATATGTTTATGAGGTGTCCAGTTCCCTGTGGATAGAAAAATTTCTTGTGTTGCATCTAGCTTTCGACAAGCAGTGGATATTTTCAATATCTTTGAGTGTCGGTAAGCACTGAGTTTCAAAATGGCAGCTTAATAAAACCGAAATTGTTCTATCGTCAAACTACTGTATGTGCAGGAAGACGAACCCTGTGGAGCAACCACGTGATAATTGGATATGATAAAAGCGTAATGTGCTTCCGCAACTTGGTTCTACTTGTGAGTAAAGCAATTGTTTAATTGCATTGGTTATCCTGGGAAATAACTT